TTATGTTTTTCATAAGCATTCTTTAACCTATATTTTCTCTTTTTTTTTTCTTTGCTTCTTTGTTTTGTTTCTTAAATTCCACATATGGGTGAAATCATACAGTACTTGTCTTTCTCTGACTGACTTATTTTACTTAGCATTATACTCTCTAGTTCCATCCATGTTGTTGCAAATGGTAAGATCTCATTCCTTTTTATGGCTAAGTAATATTCCAGTGTGTGTGTGTGTGTGTGTGTGTGTGTGTTGTCTTTCTCCATTCATCTATGGATGGGCACTTGGGCTGCTTCCATAATTTGGCTATTGTAAATAATGCTGTACTAAACATAAACTTAACCTGTATTTTTCTAATCATCAAAGTCAAGAATGACACTTCTTTTTGACTCTCTCCTTTAGTGATGAAAACTCAGCATACTTTAATTTCCTGTTTCTCTGATGTGCGTCCCTATTTTTGGTAATATAATATGGGGGCTATTGTTAATATCTTAATATTAATTTAATATTTAATGTGGTAATGATTAAATCTCTTTAAAATAATTTTGATTTAATACTCAGTCATGTAACCATGTTTAGAAAAATTATTTCAGTTCACTACCAGGCCTCGGACTGGGGTGAGGTGTATGAGGCACTCACCTTGAGCACAAATTTAAGGGGTGCCAAATAATTAAGATAATGATCCTTTAATGACATGTTTCTGAACCAAAATTAATGCAGAAATAATCCAGGATGAACGAAATATCAAAATTTTAAGTTAAGACAGGATTCAACGCAGCGAGGCAAGGGAGACTGAGTCTTGCAAGACTTTTTCCATTAATTTTGGTTTTAAAAATATTGTGTGAAAATGTCATTTATCCTGATTACTGAGTGTCTTGTTGGTGCCACTTTAAAATTTACACCCGAGGGGAGTGTCCTTCTTACTTCCCCTGACACTGCAGCTCTGCTCGGCTCTGTGTTTAATGGGGTTCAGTCCTTTTAATACACAATTTTCCAGCCTTGAGTTCCTGATTCTGCTTCTTTTCTTCATATGTTGGTACATGTCCTCAAGTAGTTTTTTCCCACAGAGGGTGGAAACTTAGTTCTGAGTCTCTGAGGTGCTCCGGGAAAGCATACAGTGTGTAAAGTTTAAGAGTCTGGGTGCTAGAACCAGGCTGCCTCGGTTTTAATCTTGATTCTACCACTTACCAGCTATTTGTGCCTCTATTTCTTTATCTGACAAATGGGCATAATAGTAAGACCTACCTCATGGGTCATTTTTAGGATTAGATGAGTTAACACATGTAAGTTGCATACAGTAGTCCTTGCTACCTCGAAAGAGCTTCTTAGCAGAGGAAAGATCATTTGGCTGCAGACAGCATTATCCCCTGGCCCCTCACCCCGCCCCCAAATCTGTAGACTTTTGTTTGCATTCCTCTCTTCACCTGTTCACCTTCTGACATCTAGTGTTGAAGCAAAATTCAAAACTAGTTTATTTTCCTTTAAGGCAAGTCTAACTTTTCTGCCTTAAATGATTGGGAAAATAGTCTCTTGATTTTTATTATTCAAAAATATTGCCAAACTTCATGAGCTAGGCCATACATTGTAGTCTACTTTCATATGAGTTTGAAATTCCAGCAATGAAAAGCCAAAAAAAAAAAAAGGATTTCCAAGCTGTGTGTAGATGTGTCTTTTCCCCATTGTCTTTGCTGGAAAGTGGTAGACTTTACCAGCGCACCCAAGCTCTCTCTTCTGCTCAGTCTGTTTCTTCTGCCATTATTTGTTGTTTCTGTCCCATTGACCTGATCTCTGTCCATCAGGGTCTCTTGGATCTCTGTTGTGTATTCTGCTTAAGATTCTCTCTCCCTCTCCCTCTGCTGGGGAGGGAGAGAGCATCTTAAGCAGGCTCCACAGTGGCCGACAAGAGGCTCAACCTCACGGCCCTGAGACATGACCTGAGCCAAAGGCCTTACATTAGAAATTTCAGAGATGGATTCTTCCTCTAAGCTTTCTGAGGAGTCCACTTCTTTTCCCAAGCTCTATATAATCTATCTCATTTACTCTGTTTTTTAATGTAATTTAATTTAATTTTCTTTATTTGAGAGAGAGCTAGCGGAGAGAGCACGAGTGGGGGGGGGCGCAGGGGGAGGGAAAAGCAGGCTCCCCGCTGAGCCGGGAGCCAGACATGGGGCTTGATCCCAGGACCCTGGGATTATGACCTGAGCTGAAGGCAGACGCTTAACTGACTGAGCCACCCAGGCGCCCCTATCTCATTTACTCTGTTAGAATTTTCCTCCTACATCCTCCAATGAGGCAGGCCTAGCCAGACTTCCAAACTAAGTGATCATTTAATAGAGCACCTGGATTGGCCTAGGATGGGCTTCTCTCTGGTCCTCACTCATTGATTCTTTGATATGCTGAATCCATAGAGTATCCAGAAGACTACATTCCCCAGCATGCATTGCTACCTTCTCTCTTCCTGTCCTGGTTTGTGTCTATTCCTGAATGCAGTGTGTCACTGCCTGTGGGACTCTACTTCCCGTCCCATTGTCTCCTGGATTATCATCTCTGAATGATGGTGGTATGGAGGGGAGGGAGGGACAGAGTTGAGGTGTAGAAGTAATGAAGGGAATATTGTCCCAATCACCTAGGCAAGCAGATCTTATTTTTCCTTAGTGCTTCTTAAGTTTTCCTAATTACTCTAGAGGAAATTTACTACTTGCATAAATTTTTTTTTTTTTTTTTAGAAAAAGTAGTACTCCTGTATTGATAAGACAGCTGCTCAGTACTTAAGATCTGAATCCAACTTGCAGTTGCTGATAAGGAGTTGGTCAGCAGGACAGGTGTAAGAAGTCTCTTCCTACCTTTCTCATGGCAGATTCTGGTGTCTTGAACCTTGGGTTGGTTTTCTTAGTCCAGCCCCATCCGCCTTATTATTTATGGGGATTCCTCCCAAGTCTGGTCTTAGCTCATCCTTCAGCCTTTGGTTTTTAGTATTGTGAGTTTTCACCTTTTTAAAAATGATATCAAGAGCTGATAATATAGATGCTATTTTGCCATTAAAAAAGGTAAAACACCCATATTCAGAAATTTACCACCTTAACCATTTTTAAGTATATAGCTCAGTAGAGTGTTGAGTACATTCACATTGCTGTGTAACCAACCTCTAGAACTCTATCTTGTGAAACAAACTCCATACCCATTAAACACTAATTCCCCATTCCCCTACCCCCAGCCCCTAGCAACCACCATCCATTCTACTTTCTCTCTTTTTGCTGTTTCTTATTTCTTAACTTTTAGGAGGTTGTGAAATGCACATTCCTTTTGAAATTTACTGTCTGTGAAAATCTTAATAGTCATTCATTCATTTTGGCACATAGTTATTGAGTGCATACTCTTTGCCTGACCATATTCTAGGTTCTGGAGACCCAGCCCTGAGCAAGGGCAATATTGTCTCTGCTTTCAGGAGCTGCCGTTTTAGGGAGGAGAGAAACACAGTAGACCAACAAATGAGCAGGGTGAGTTCAGATAGTGCTAAGTGCTGTGAAGACAGTAAACTGACTGATGGGGCTGGGGGTGCCTTTGGGGCGATGCTTTGGCTGGGGAGGTCCCAGGGGGCTTCCCTGTGCAAGTGATATTTGAGTCAACCCCTGGATTTATGAAGGAGACCTCTCCCCCATGTAGAAGAACTGGAGGGGTGGCGTTTGGAGCAGATGGAAGGGTGTGCGCAAAGGCTCTTGACCTGAATGAACTTGGCTCACTTGAGGAATGGAAAAAATACCAGCGTGACTTGAGCACAGTGAGCACTGGGGAGAAAGTGAAATGAGACTGGGCAGTCTTGCAAGCCAGGCAGCTAGATTACGTTCCAGTTGCCATGAGAAGCCACTTGCGGTTTTTAAGCCACAGCTATGTGATCTAACACTTGACATTAAACAAAATTCTGCATAAAAATATGCTTGTGTTGGATAGTGGCACACACACTCAGCATGCATACAGCCATCTCGCTGGCTCTGTTATTTTGTTTCTATCAACCAGAGTCTCCCAAGGGATACTTGTCGATTTTTCTTTGAGTAACTCTAGCGAAAAGGCTAATTAACGGACAGGATTACTGATGGAACTTCAGAGACCCTGCGTGGTCGAGCTCTAGTTCATGTAGGGCAGTATCCACTTCAGCCTACCTTTTCTTCATCCCTTATCCTTGCTCTTAGACGGAGAACACAGTCTCCAGGGGGAGGGTCAGCTGAGTTTGAGACCTATTCTTATTCCAGTGGTAGAATTGATAAAGGAATCCCCTGTGTTTGCTCCTGTCCCCACTAATAAGCATACCTAGAGAGTCTATAATAACACTTGACTCCTAAATAAACAGTATTAGAATTAAAGAAGTCTTTTTTTGATTCCCCCCAGGGTTGAGGGAGGATTAGTAAAATGCCTTTGGTTTATCAGACTGGTGTTTATAAACGTGTTTCTTGCTAGAATGGAATGAACAAGAGTCCTTCGTGTTGGGGCTTCCGGACTTCTGCCCTAGCAGCCACATCTACCCGGGGTGGGGTGGGGGGGCGGCGAGGCACATGATGCTGGCAACTTTGCAGGTCATTATGCCGATTGGCAATTAAACCACAATTTGAGCAGCTCCTTTCTGATAAAATTTGCCTTGTTGTTTATTCTAATGTTTTAATGATAAATATCTTTATATAAATATTTTTTCTTAAAAAATTAAGAAAAACACTTTTGAGAAAATCTGGCTTTGGTGAATGCGATTTTTTTTTTTTTTTTTTTTTGCCCGAGGATGGGGAAAGAAACAGCCTATGGTAATAATTCTGGTACTGCCATCATACAGAAACTAGTTTATAAATAGATCCAAATCCACACTTGGTACCTCGTTCAGAACAAGCTTGCTTAAATTTACCATAGTCCGCTTCAAATTGGGCCCATTTCAAGTCCGTCTCCTTATACAGTGGGGTACACATATTCTTGAGCTGTAAATGTTTAAGTTGGAACATACTTGGCATCATTCTCGGTGTTTATTGCAGAGAACATCCTGGGATGGCACGGGCCCAAGTCACATTCCACAGAGCAGCTGAAAAATGGGACCCTTGGCTCTTTGCCATCAACCAGTGCCAACATAACCTGGGCGATTTTACCAGACTCCGCTGCAGAAGAGCAAAGCTTGCCGCCAGAGCCCGAGGTAAGCGAGCCGTTAGTTCTCTCTCTGCACCCGTGTGGCTTGTGTTCTCGCTTGTTCAGAAATGTAGTAATTATATTTGTAACTTGCTCATCTCTTTGTTTGAAGAGGAGACAAATTATAAAATGGACACATTGCCTGGAGAGACAAAATCGGCTCTGGGCACGCCTGGCACTTCTGTTCTCGTGTCTGGCAGCTGCCGTGGCTGAAATGTGATCCTACCAATGAGGAATCTCCTATTTTCATTGAAATGGGAGTCATTTTAACTTCAAGTGGGAGAAATTCAAACGCACCCATTAAAATGATGCCTGTTGACATGCTGGGAGCAGTTACAATATATTATGTCGCTCCCCTGAATAATGGCTTCTTCATGTGGTTCGTGCTAACATCAGCGCCTGCCTCACACGCTCGACCCCTGCATGCGTCCCCGGGGCCATGGTTGAGACTCCTGGGCCTCCCCTCCAGCTGCGGGGACTCCTGCCCTGCCGGGTCAGGGTCGGGGGCGGGTGGGGGGGCGGTGGCCCCTGCAGAGCCTCCCGATGAGCCAGGCCTCGGCAGGCTCCGTGGACTGCCCCCTGCCCACAAGCTTCTCCCGACTAACCGTGCCTCCCAGTGACCACTGGAAGGGAGCCACACACAGCGCGTCCTCCTGTCGATTTCACTTTGTGTCGCAAGGGAACTTCTATATTTTCTTTTCTGTTTGATGCACGCATTCTCTCTGCGGGACCTTGTGAACTGGGCTGAGCCATACCTGACTCACGCATTAGAGGTTGTTCTTAATTCTAACTGAAATCCCCTTAGCCTGAAAAATGTAGGGTGCTCATAAAATCTGTTGGGGAAGGTCGAGAGCCCCAAGGCAGCTGCTTGGGTCCAATGGTCTTGGTTATCAATTGAAAGTTTTTTCCAAGCTTCACATGATCATATTCTGGGACAGGGACTTTGGTAGCTTGGCTCTTACAGAGGTAGGGTCAGCCTGCCTACAAGTGTTCCATTAGCATCTATAAGGTGCCTTCGCAGGGTATGAAACGAATAGGGGACGTGAGATTCTCAAAGGCACTTGCCTCTGCCTGTACCAGGAGTTTCAGTTTGAAACACTCGCAGCTGATGTGTAGGTGAACTGGCAGGTAAGTTGGTGACGGAATAAATGGTGGGAGCCCCACCGTCCTATTGCTCTTTTGAGAGCCTTGGCGGCTGGTGGGGGGCGGGGGGAGTTGGCATTTGAGGGTGAGGTGCTTAGCCGCTCAAGAGTTGAAAACTATGATAATATCCTTCATTCCCTTGGCAGAGAACCTTTGGGGTTCACGTCATAATAAATACATTTAAAATCTTGCTCTAGGGAAGAATTAAGAGTAGGGAAGTAAGTTATTAGATCTTCAGTAACAATTTTATAGGATCTCATTCCCAGCAGCATTCTTGGGCAAAACCCAACAGAAGCCATAACCTAAGAAGCTTACTTATTAGGACTGGTGTCCTCCCCCATTCTGGGAATCCTTCTGTGTGTTTTTTCTGCTTTTCCTCTAATGCTGAAGCTCGAGAGGCCAGGCCTGTCCTTTTTACTTAAAATTGTTGCTCTCTTTGCCTTTCCAGTCACTGGCATTGACAGAAGAGTATATAATTGTCCACAAGAAAGGACTAGCTTCCAGGTTCAACTTTTTAAAAATACTTTGAAAGAGAAGAACTAGGGAGAACTTTTTTCACCCTTACGTTATAAACAGCATCAATTTCTGGTTGTCGTATTACCTTTACTCCAGTCAGAGCGGTGTAAGGTATTGGTAGGTAAGTCCTCATAGCAGGGAGGACTTATGGGGACATGATGGTGTTTTGATGGTTTTCGGAGAAGGGAGAGTTTGAGACTCCTTCCATTTTTTCCAATGACTGCTGTGGTAGATGCTTCTCACAACCCCAACAGCTAGTGTTGGTTGGATACTATTTTTACTTTAGGCCATTGTGCTTTGTCACTTTTTTTTTTTGTTTTTCTTTTGAGAACTGAGGAAGCTAGCAATATTGACCCAATCATTTTCCTGTCAGAAAAAGGAAAATGTTTCCATTGCCTCCTTTTTGCACAATTTGGAGAGATAACCCAAGAAGGAGTGAAGTGAAATTCCTAGAGGCTGAAAATTCCTTGTGAATATGTTCCTTAACCCTTCAGTATAGAGAATGAGTTACTATGTGAGTGATCACCAGTGAAACTCAGGATTGTAGTTATTGTGGCACTTTAACTGAGTAAACTATTTTCTTCTGGTTTGCTGCTTGTTTTAAATCTTTAGAAGCAATAATTAGGGTATACAAGGTATACCTCCCTCCGATGGGTGTGTGCTTTTTTAATACCAGCAAGCAATTAATTTAATCCAGTTCTCACTGGACACAGACTTGGCATCATACAGTTCAGTTCAACTCTGACATGGTCTCCCTGGGGAGAGCTTCGCATCCCACAGGTGAAGGGCTCAGCCCCACAAGACTGTCCTGCCCCTCGACCCCCCCCCCCACACACCTTCAGCCAATCATAAGTTCAGGTCACCTGTGCTTCTGCCAATGGGCTATAGATCAGAGGTTCTCATGACCCCCTCCTTGGGTTTTCATAATTTGCTTGAGTGGCTCACAGAACTCAGCGAAACACTTCCCAGTTTATTATAAAAGATTAGAATTCAGGAACAGATGGAAGAGATGCTTGGGGAAGGCACGTGAGCTGCCATGACCTCCCCAGCAACCCCCCCAGCACCTCCCCAAGTTCACCAACCCAGAAGCTCTCTGAACCTTGTTGTTTTGGGGTTTTATGGAAGCTTCATTCCAGAGGCAAGATTGATTAAATTGTTGGTGACAAAACTCCACCTCTCCCAGCCCCTCCCCGGAAGTCAGGGGGTGGGACTGGAAGTTGCACCCCTCTAATCATCGTGTTAGTTCCACTGGAGACAGTCACCATCCTTAGGTTCCCAAGGGGCTTTTAAAGGTCACTCATTAATGTAACAAAAGACACCTTCATCTCTCTCATCCCTTCAGGAATTCCAAGAGTTTTAGGAATGCTATGCCAGGAATGGGGACAAAACCAAATATATATATTTCTTGTTATAAATCACAGTGTCAAACTCCCTACCCTAGTGCTGGCTTTACTGTAAAACAGCTTACAGATACTGGGAAAATTAATGCATTTTCAAGCTTCATCTGTTTAATTCCCAGCAGAATAAAACTCAAAGACCAATGTGTATTTAATACATGAGTTAGAGCAGAACTGTAGTTGGCTCTATTATCAAGTGCAGTGATCTTAAAATTTTATTCTGCTGGGGCTAGAACTAACTATATGTGAAAATGAAATATTCTTCCATAATGAAATGAATTAGGATCTTGGTTTTACCCATTAGCAGAACAATTTTTCAAGTCTCTTAGCACCATTTGAAATTTAAATTTAGACAGAAAAAGGTTTTTGTTGTGCTATCTTTGGGGAAGAATGCCTTGTACCAGGACAGGGAGAACTGTGTTGGGGAGATACTGGGATTGGCTCTCTTGACCTTCATTTCCACCCTCCTGATGGGAAACCTAACAACTGCATGTCCAAGAATTCCTTACAGTTAGGTTTCTGAATGCAGGACAGGTCCCATAAATGCATTTGTGTGAGATTTGGAAGGCTGAGATGGAGACCAAGTTTCCTCTGCTGGTGCTGCTGGTGGGCAAGGTCATGGGGATGTGGGTGTTCTGAGGCACTTGCAGGGACCAGATGCATTGTCCTGGGGCCTTAGGCCCACCTATGTGGACGTGACAAGATGTTGGGTTGGCAGCAGCGGCCACTTCCCAACACTGGGATCATGACTACCTACCGTGGTGTGTCCTTGAAATAAAGAGTTGAAAGGGGACTTTGCTCCTCCATACCTTTCAGAGATTCTGTAAGCACCTAATTCCCATACCCAGTCCCTTTCTGATTGAAATACCTGGTGTGGTTTCTGTTTCCTGCTGTGGATCAAGACTGGGTGAGCCATTGGAATAGGAAAGCCGAGGGTGACATGGAGACAATCACAAATGTGACCGTGTATACCTACCTTTCTGAAGGGACAGAACCTTAAGATTTCTAAAAGTCAGTTTTATTGAGGCATAATTCAGGAATAATAAAAGTCACCCTTTTAAAATGTAATTTTATCACTTTTAAGCCCATTAAAATATGGAATAATTCTATCACTTTCCAAAATTCCCTAGTGTTCCTTTACACTTAAGCCCTTGGCAGTCCTCTTTTGTTTTCTGTCCATATAGCTTTGCCTTTTCTGGAATGGCATTTAAATGAAATCATATAGTATGTAGCCTTTTTAGTAGGGTTTCTTTTGTTTAGTGGAATGCATTTGTGATTCATCCATGTTGTTATATTAGTCAGTGGTTCATGCCTTCTTATTGCTGAATAGTATCCATTGGATTCAGAGTTTGTTTATCCTTTCACCAGATGAAGAACATTTGGTAAACTTAACTTACTCGAATCCCCCATGGATAAAATAGAAAAAGGGAAACGTTTAATATAGTGTTGTATTAATCATATAAGGCAGATATTTGGTGCCCATATACCTACCCCCTGGTCTGGAGGGAGAAGATGGAGGGTCAGTTCTATTTATCTCTCTATTGGAGACCCTGCACAGAGGGTTTTATTTATTTATTTATTTTTAAAAGATTTTATTTATTTATTTATTTGAGAGAGTGAGAATAAGAGAGAGAGAGAGCACATGAGAGGGGGGAGGGTCAGAGGGAGAAGCAGACTCCCTGCTGAGCAGGGAGCCCGATGCGGGACTCGTTCCTGGGACTCTGGGATCATGACCTGACCCGAAGGCAGTTGCTTAACCAACTGAGGCACCCAGGCGCCCCTGAACAGAGGGGTTTTAAAGCTTGTGCCTCAAGAGCATGCTGTCGGTGGGGCATCCGGGTGGCTCAGTCAGTTAAACATCTGACTCTTGGTTTCAGCTCAGGTCATGATCTCATGGGTCATGAGATAAGAGCCCTGTGTCTGGCTCCACGCTCAGCTGGGAGTCTGCTTG